TGAACACAATTTTGAGCGATGAGAACATTGATTTGATCACTTCATTTCCTTGCCCTCTGAAAGCTCGAGGAAATATTCTTCCCAGTTTAAAGCCCCCTTTTCCACGATGTCGTTGTAGTATTTGAACTCGGTTTTGCACTTGTTCATCCACGCGGACAAGTGCTCGTATTTGACCAGCTGGAAGTCGTGAATTCCTGAAAATTTCTTTATCAAAAAAAATAAATGAAGGGGTTAACATTTTTTTACTCTTTCTTCGAGGAATTTTAATTAAGCTCACTTCAACGTTGGCGATATTGTTGACCATGCTGATGTCGGCGATGGTTTTTTGCGGACCCGCAACCCAGCCCCCGGATTTCTCGAGGAATTCGTTCAACCAGCTCAAAGCTTCGCAAACCTTTTCCCATTGCGCTGATGAAAAATGATCAGCAAAGCCTCGAATCACCGGAACCTGAAAAGTTTGTGAATACTGTAACAAAATTTTTGCACTACTTTTTTTAATCGACAACATATGCTCATATTCGTCATTGACGCAGATTGCCATATTCCGGTGGACTCTCTTTACAACTAAATTCAATTAAGGGACTATCGAAAAAAATCGTTGTAAAGAAAATATCCTTTTCTCTGTAAAAAAAAAATAGTTTTGGTCGCATATAGGATTTACTCCCCATATTATAGGGGCACTCTACCAAGAAATTCAAGGGGTCAGAAAAAATCGTTGTACTGGATGTACTGTTGAGAGAATTTCGTCGTAAGGGGCCCCTATAATATATGGGGAACAAACCCTATGCGGCCTTTGGGACCGAAACAAAATTCATTATATACAGAGAAAATCGTTGTACATAAGATTGTTGTAGACAGAGCCCACTTCTTTAGTTGGTTATATTTTTCTTCTTTGAATCATCACGATCGCCAAGTCGTCAGAAGAATGAACGTTTGCACGATAATGAGAGATTCATATCTGAATTAATTACGTACAGTCTTTCCACAATTATCTTCGATCGATTCTTTTATGTCAAGTTCAAATGAATCCTCAAAATCGGGTGGAATCATGTCGTTTTTGTGCGTTGACTTTCAAACGTACGACGAGTTTATTTGCTTGGAGGAGGCAGTGCTGTTGTGTATAATGCTAAAGTTTTGTAAAAGCGTTTAATTTTTATCATCGACTATGCATAAGTAATGGAAAAACATGTATTACTGACGATATAAATGCTGATTACATGGCTTTAAACGTTTCTAAAATATCTATATAGAGTACTTTACTCTCAAGACAAGCGTGAGATGTGAAAAACTGATTCATTTTTCATCAGTTTTCCAGATTTTTTAACTGGACACCGAAATCGTCATACTGTGTTGGAAAATTTGAAGGTTTAGCTCTCTATAAAAAAAAAAATAGAGGGATCAATTCGGAAATTACGAAAAACTGCGGACGAATTCATAAGATGTCTTTATTAGGCAATTTGGGATTTTCCCGGATGGCTTTATTTAAACTCAGAGAATAAATTCTGTAGTTTTAATTTCATGGAAAAAATAATATTGTTATGGAACTTATATGAGACACGTTCTTATGCGAAGCAAAATGGGCGAAGTCGTTTGATGACTGATGGCTAGTTGTGATAAATTATGTGATCGATCTTCTATTCTAATTTTTGCATGCAGTTAAATTCCGTAGGATATCTAAATATTTGTTGATACCTACTGACCGTCGTGAAAACTTCAGTATATTATTTATTAGACAAATACGAGTGCAGTGTATTACTCACCACATATGCGTGAATCCTGGCGAACAAAGTGCCGCTTTCGAAGAACATTCGATTATCTACAATTGCACGTTTCTCCGGGTCCTCTGGGTACAGATTATGGTCTTTTGAGTACTTGTTTGCCAAGTACTGCATGATAGCATGGCTACAAAAACGTGCACATCGCTCAA